CTCTGGTAGCATAGTGGCTAAGACACTTGCCTGCTAACCAGACAGCTGGCGGTTCAAACCCACCAGCCACTCCTCGGAAGGAAGGTTGGGCAATCCTACTTCCGTAGTGATACTGCCTCGGAAACCCAAGGAGGGGTCGCTATGAGTCGGGTTTGACTCGACGGCACATAACAACAACAACAACAATTACATTTTAGCTATTGGTACACATCTGCCTACTTCATTTCAATACCTGAGGTCAATAAAGATTCTATGACCCCTACCATGTAACACAGCAAGGAACAAAAATACTATTACCCTTAAATTCTGATCTCCACATATAAAGGAAAGACTGTTCTTTCTGAAAATAGCTCCCATGTTTTACTTTAAAACTTCTCTGATTTCAGTGGTGTATGTGTGTGTAAACATATCTTCTTCAGAGGGAGCTCTGTCAATATCAGTGCATGTATATATTTGCGTATATAGTTTATAAAGTGCTTTAAAATTTTTTAAGGCAAAAATATAAACTCATTTAATTTAAAATCATCAGCTGGATTGCATTAAATGGAGGGAAAAGCAAAAAGGTACACAAGAAAGTTATTTGTTAAAATGACTAAACACAGTTATTTCTCCTGTTACTTAATTACAAACAGACATAAATACTCTGGATTTTGACAACTCAGATCTGTTGAAATTTTAGATCTGGATTTCAACATGTAATGAAGGGAGGGTCATATTCTGATTTGTGTGTTAAGCAAACCCCAGAGTTACAATTGTATATTGGGACCATAATGACTTCACTAAAACAAGACTCAAACTTTTAATTAACCTGTCAAGACAAATTACAACTCACAGCTCGCAGGTAACGACCACAGACAGCTAAGACTCAATGCCAGTGACTCTTGGGGAGAGAGGGATTAACAGCAGCATTGGAAGCATTCTGTTTTTGTATTAAAAGGGGAAAAAAAAAGCATTCATTAAACAATCACTGTCATTTGAAGGGAGGCAGCAGGTCAGAGAGGCAGCCAAAGAAATGTGGAAGGAGGAGGAGGAGAGGAGAGAATATCAACAGCCTTACTGAGTGCTTATGGGGTTCCATAAGCTTGTGCCAGGCACTTTATATTTGTAAACCACTATTATTATTCCATGTTCAGTGCAAGAAAAATGAAGCTCAGAGAGATAACGACTGCTCATGGTGACAGAGCTAACATGAGTCAGCAAGGGCAGAATGGAATGGACAATGGTTCATGGAAGGTTTCATTTTCAAAGCTTAGTTTTCAGACCACCAGATCAGGATCACCTGGCCTCCATTTTGTTGTTGTTGTTGTTATGTGCCGTGGAGTCAGACCTGACTCATAGTGACCCCTCCTTAGGTTTCCAAGGCAGTATCACTACGGAAGTAGATTGCCCAACCTTCCTTCTGAGGAATGGCTGGTGGGTTTGAACCACCAGCCTTCTGGTTAGTAGTCAAGTGCCTTAGGTACTATCCTACTAGAGCTCCCAGGCTCCATCTTAGGCCTACTGACATAATTTCTGAAGAAAAGGCCCAGAATCTGAATTTTTAACTGGCATCCCAAGTGGTCCCTTTGCACAACAGATGTATCATACTCACCAGGGATTCTACCCCCTACTACTCAAAATGTGGTCCATAGATCAGCAGTACTGGTATCACTGGGAACTGGTTAGAAATGCAGAATCTTGGGCCCCAGCCAGACCTACCACATTTTCACAAGATCTCCAGGTGAAGCTTGAGCACATTAAAATCTGAAAAAACACTACATGGAATATGTGCTCTGAAAGTGTTATAGGGTTAAGGGGAGGTGAAGACAAGTTTCATCATTCAGGTGAGAACAGAGGAGCCAGAGGGAAAAGCAAGGCTGGCTTCTTAATTATGACAAAACAGGTTAGCAAGCTCTGACAAGCCGAGAGCTGGCAAAGGTACCTACATGTATCTACATTTTATTTCTCCAAGATTCATTTCCTAATTAAAAGTAGCTTTCTTTGGGAGTTGTACTAATATCCTTTCATATTTATGCTCAGTTATTAAAAATAAAGAATTCTGGTTTTTAAAATCTTAGTAACGTGAAGCATGGCACTCTGCTTCTTTGTGAACCATGCCTAAGAGACACTAGCCATGAGACCACAATGCTGTAACTCAGGTACCACTAATGACTTGGTAATTATGTCTCTAAATTGAAGCCACCATGTCAGAAAGAGAAAGGAAACAGAGTCTGGAGCCTGGCAAACTCCACAAAGTGACAGCCTAATTGATGGTGAGGACCAGAATTGGGATCTCCCATGACAGAGAGTAAGCTACCCTGTTGGCCTCTATGTCACAAGTAACCACAGAGCTGCAGCTTCAAATTCTGGAATCTTGAGTAACCAAGAGCTTGAAAAATTTAGTGATTTGTATAAGATCAAAACACAAGTGGCAGAGATTCAGAACTGAGCATACTTTCCACTACACCTCAAAAGGCAGCTACGGGGTGGAAACCAGGAGCAAAGTACCACCAAGACTGCAGTTGCTGAGTCCTGCCAATGGGGCCTAAGCAGAGAAGAAGCCACACTCACACTTGTTCCCTTATTAACTGAGTGATTACTGTGCTCTTGGTACTGGGGTAGTGTTGTGGAGGTAGAGAGGAATGTGCCAACATCCGTGCCCTCCAGGCAACCACAGTCTGGCTGTTAGGACAGACATTTCCAAGACAAGGAAAATACAGAGTGCGATTTCCCATATAAAGCTAGTTGCCTAACCACCTAAAGCTTTTTTTATTTTATGAACAGGGTACAGTATTAAATCAGAAGCTTATTTCTTAAGCTTATTTCCGGTTAATGGCATTCTGCTTCTTTGTGAACCATGCCTCGGAGACACTGGCCATGTCTTCAATTAACTGGAAGGTACTCACTGTCTAGACACCAAAGGTTAAACTACAAGTTAAGAGGAAAACAGCCTGACATTGATTACTGCTGTTTATAAAGAAGAACTAAACCAAGTATCAGATTGAGAGATTTTCATTAAACTCCATTCTCCATGTTAAAGAGACTCTCAGCCAAGAATTGAGACAAAAGGTTTTCAGGTGAACTCTGACAACTTTTCATGATCACAAACTCTATTCCAAATGTTCTGGGGTTAATGGAGTTTTGGTTTTCTGTTAGTTTTATGTTCCTGTAGGAAATTAAATGTTGTGGGCTTCAAGCATGTAAAGGACAATGGGGTCCCCAGACCATACTGTGTCACAGTGTTTCCAATATAAACTCAGAGAAAATGTTTTCTAACCCAAATGACCAAAAGTACTGTGTCCTATAGGATACTATGGTGATATAAGGAGGAGATGTAGTCTATAAAATGTGTTGGTAAAAGAGAGAAATTATTTCAGACAGGGTATCAGGCTACTCAGAGACTCACAGACTTCTGAGGTAGCTAAGGGGTTCAAACCTGAACTGATAGCAAGTCACTCTTCCACTATATCTGAAAGCTAAAGGGTTAAAAGCAGGGCTTCATGGCCAGTGAAACAACATCAGAATGAACATAAATTTTGAAAATGTGGGTGAGCCAAAACACGAAATAGAATGGGAAAAATTATGGGACAAAGCTCTACCAGAAACTTAATCTCTCTCTCTTAGAAAACAAGGGCAGTGTGCACATTGCATAGCAACCCAATCTCTTGATGAACTGAACTGAAAACAATGGTGCCAAGCTCAAAGATGGCAGCTGACTTGACTATACGACTTGAATGTGTTTTGCTCTCCACAGTCCTGGCAATAATGCAATGTCATGCATCAGGCTTCTAAAATGGCTCACTAGGCCTCTTCCAAGTCTCCCATTCCAGGACTCTGACCAATAGTTTTTTCCCATTAGTGTTCCAGATCACTCACATTTTTAAAAATGTGAGTCTGTTCTGGTTTTACTTCACTGGCCATGACTAAACCAGTTTGAACTGGTTAGAAACTCTGATTAAGCATTTATTCAAAACATTAGGGTTTGCTCTGTGTCTGAGATTGAAAAAAAAAAAAAACTGTTGACATCAAGTAAATTCTAACTCATGGGAACCTCATGTGTGTCAAAGTAGAACTGTGCTCAATACAGTTTTTGATGGCTGAATTTTTTAAGTAAATCAAGAGGCCTTTCTTCTCAAGTGCCTCTGGTTAGACTTGAACCTCTAACTTTTTGGTTAATAGGCAAGCACATTAACCATTTGTACAAGCTGGGGACTCCTGTTAGAGACTGGAGATTGTTGGTGTTAATTGCTGTCATGTCGATTATATTCATAGTGACCCCATGTGTTCCAGAGCAGAACTGTGCTCACATGATCTTCAAGGTGTGACCTTTTAGAAGCCGACTGCCAGGCCTATCTTCTAAAGTGTCTCTGGGTGGGTTCAAACCACCAACTCTTTGGCCAGTAGTCCATTGTTTAACTGTTTGCACCACCCAAAGGCCCTTGTCAGAGATTAGGACATTTCTGTTCTCAACAAAATCATAATCTGACTGATTACATTGCTTATACTGCTATTCTTGCTCTCTCTTCAAGCCTTTATCTTCTTTTCTCATCTGCCAGGGGTTGTTGGCTCCAAAAGCAAAAAAGCAAACAACAAATTGGTGAGTTGAACCAAGTGAGACTTATGAAGACAAATAGATGTTGGAAAGAAGTGCCAAGAAGAGAGATGTTTCCTACGTGAGGCTGGTTGTACAGGATTCTTGTCTCATGTTATCAGTACCACCTCTCAGTCTTTAAATGTTGCAGCTGGCTCACACATCATACTACCGATAACACAAGAAAGAGAGTGGGCAATAGCTCTGGGCACAGGTGACAGCCCAGAATTATCTTCCAGGCCCTTCTGTCAGTCCCTACCCTCATTTGCTTGCATCTCACGTTCATCCTTCATCCCAGCAAGCCCAGTCAGGATACCTTCATGCCAGAAGGCATCCACAGCTGGCAACAGAAAAATCCCAGAATCTCCAACCATCCTCCCATCCAAAGAAACAATATCCCACAGGCTCCAGAGGGATGGAGCTTCCTTACCAATGGCAGTGGTGAGAAAAGAAACCACTTCAGACTCTTTCCCATCATTGTAAAAAGCCAAGTGCCAGATTCCTGAATCCAAATACTGGATGAAGCCAGTCTCATGGCTAGAGGAGGGGACGACTCCCCGAGACTGGCGCTGGGGTCCCTCCAGGCTCCGTGCTTCCTGGGTCAGGAGCCTTCTTCCATCCAGCAGCTCCACAAAGTCAAACTACAGTACAAAGAGAACAAAATTAGCAGTGGATCTGCCTCATTAAATGCCAAGTTCTTTCTTCAGGTTTCTCATGGAAAGAGCACAACTCAGAGAGCAAAGAGGCTAAAACCACATGGAGGATGATCACCCAACTCTAACTCCTTCCAGATCCCATTTTGTCCACGGTAATGACTCTCTTGTGAGTACAGCATCATTAGTGGATTAGCTTTTACTCTTTTTCTGTTTTAATTTTGTTATATGTGTGGTGACTCTTCACCAGGCTAAGCTTGTACCAGGACAACCATGTTTTTTGTTTTGTTTTGTTTTGTTTTAAATGATGAGTACATAATTAGAAGTCCAGGCACTTAATGATTGTTTGAACTCCATGCAAATCATGATGGGAATCCTTACGGTCTAGGATGGGGACTAGAGAATTGGACCTGCTTTCAACATCAGTCATGTGCAAAGGAAAATTTGATTTATATACATCTCCCCTTTGGCAATGAGCCTTTCCAAATGTGCCAGTTTCAGGGAGTAAACTAGGGGAGCTAAACTGGATTAGCTCAAAACTATGCCAATGATTCTGTGCTGTATCAAGTACCATTGCCCACTGCAGTGTGAGACTTAAGAGAAGTCAGTCACGCAATGTTAACAGCAGGTAGCAAGCCAAGTGAATAAACTTCTTCCTCTCTCTCTCTTTCTGTACAGAAAAATACTTATTCCCTCTCATGTAAGGTAAGAAGTTCAGGACCAGCATGGATAGCATATTCTTCTGTGACTCTATTCCTTGCAAATGTACCTATCTAGCTTTTAACTGAAAATCTTAAATAGCTGCTGGCCTAGGAAGACTGCTTTGGGCCAGGAAGGCCTGATAGATGCCTATGGATTATATGAGTCTAAATCCAGAACTGGGAAGAACTCGTACATATCTCTGTTCTTTACCAATCATGACTGGTAATATGCCAATTATACTGGACAAGTTTTCAAGTGTCTCTAGTGTACATGTGTGTGTTTATGTCTGAGTAAATGTATAACCCTGAAAAAAAGAAGGAACACAAGAGGCTAGGGGAGTGACATTTGTTAGGGACTGCCCATTCTGAGCCATGTCTTGCACTAACTGCTTAACAATGCTATTCTTTATTTTTCACAATAGCCCTGCAATGTTATCCTTATTGTATAGATTAGGAAAGGGGGTCTGAGAGGATGAGAAGTGCACCCAAGGATATACAGTTGATAACAACAGGATTCAAATTCAGGTCTCTGATTCCAAAATGCATGTTTTTTTTTCCCCCACCCTTCTCTAGGTCACATTTTGTGGATAAATAATATAACTTAGGAGACTAGGCAATAATGAGAAGGCTACTAAGAGGTTTCTTCCTTTTGAAACCTACCCCCCCCCCCAGAGACATAACCCTACTCATTTGAAATACAGAACCTGGGAGGGGATGAAATTCTCTTCAGGTACAAAGATACAGGTTTAAGGAGGTAAGGGCTCCCTGAGTTTGGGTTAAGATAGGAGGAAGAAGCCCCTGGAGATCAGCAGGGTATGTGGAGTTCTGGTTACCTGTGTATGTGAAGGGGGAAGGCCTTTTCTGCCATAAATGCCAACCAGTGCTGCCTTTCCCAGAGACACATTGAATTTCAGATGCACAGGATGATCTATGAACACCTGAGATCTCCAGAAAGTGCCAGGAGGAATCTTCTGGGAAGCCCGTCTCCCCACGTCGATTTCTCCAGAGTCTATAAAACTGTCCTCTGGAAAGAAACTACTGGGCTTTCCTACCAAGACACAGGGAAGGGAAGACAAAAACATCACAGTTAGTCACAGATGAAACAAGGAATTAGGGCATCTGAACAATCACGGCTCTCCTCAGCCTGGCCCTCCTCTCTAGAACATTCTGCTGCCAGCCTCCTCTCCCTAGCCGAGGACTCAACTGAGGAGGAAGAACGTCCAGAATGGGTTTTTTTTTTTTTTTCTTTTCCCAGCGATGCTCAAATTGTTCTGCTAAAAATATGCATTCTTCCCAAGCAGTATGGGTCCTCCCCAAAGGCCATCTGTTTACTGCATAACTCCACAGCTTGTTAAGATATATTTTGATCCCAAAAATAATCATTTGTGGTCACATGAGAATAACTCTGTGATTGTGTATGTGCATGTGTAAAGGAGTGCATGCTAAAGTAGAAAAGATGGAGAGAGCGAGGTGTTGTTATTAAATGTGTAACTCAGAATGATTCCCCCAACAGTGGGAAGTACCACTAGAGTAGGGTAAGGTATTTTAAAAGTTCATTAGTTTATGTATAAATTGGAGGTTAAATTTTGAGGCTAGAGTCTACAGATGGGGGGCTTGATTTGGGATCAGGTATATAGACGGAAGGCAAGGAGGAAGAGGTCATTTCTGAAGGGAAGAAACATTTTTGAAAAATGCTTCTTGTGTTTAGATGAGGGGTGAATATAATTTTGTGTGTGTGCTAAAGTAGGTAAAGTTGAAAGAATTTCTCAAGTTTAGGCAAAACATCAATGACATGTGGAAATTCAACACAGACCCTCACCTTGTGCCCAGCATCTGTACAGGAAGGTTAGGAGTAAGTTTTTATTTTTTCTTTGCTCATTTCTGTCACTAATGAGGAGCCTGACAGCTTTCAGCGGACATTTCCAGTGGCAGGAAGGAAAGCTGCTTATCAAACTTCCTCTGTTTGGTAATTAAATACACTCACATGTGAAAAATATAAACCCTAACTTCCTGCCAGACATTAGCCTTCTAAGGAATTGAGAGGGATAGGGAGGTAGGAGACTATAAGGATGCTAGAAAGACCACCCTTAGGACACCGAAAAACCAAAATCAAGTTAATACACTACATGTTATAAGTCATTAGAAAGGTACCCCCTAGTTCCAACATTTTCTACATTGTTAAAGATGTGTGAAGAGACACCTTAGACAAGAAGAACTGATTTGTAAAGAAAACACATTTCTGGGAACTTTTGATAAAAAGCATTTTGGGAATAAGAAATTAAAACGTCTTTTCCCTAGCTTTGCGAGACTCCTTACAAAGCACATTTGATGCTGAAATGGAGATTGGCAGGGTGTTATTGTAGCCATAAAATATTTTACTGTTTTAAATAATAAAATTCAATTTAAATGCTAAACTTCTCCATATGTTATCATTCCCCTATAAACTTCTAGGCAGAAACATTAGGTTTTTAGCTTCAAACCATTAAATGTTGTTTTAATTAAAAATATACCAACAAAAAGTTAAAATGCATGTAACAATAAAAGTACTACTAGTATCTGTCATTAGCATGAGAGTTTGCATTTAATTCCTTTTTAGAAGGAATGCATCCCCCAAACTTTTACCTTAAAAATATAGACACACACAGACACACACACACGCACACCCCCCACTCCACAATGTGGTTCAGATAGTTCAAAGATAAAAGCCAAATTTACAAAGCATTACTATGGGATAGAATTACTTTCACATTCTTCCTTATCTGGTTTTCAGGTCTCCGATACCACAATACTTTTATATTACAGGTAGAAAATGGTATACCCTTCAGTTTTTAATTCGGCTAAGGGAGCAGAACCAAGAGGGAGTACAAAACAAAGCAGGGGAGCTCTGAGATTTTTACTCCTAGCAATTACATAGAAATAGGCCCAAGACTGCTAATTCCAAGGACTCATTTCATTTGTGAGTAGGTGGGAGTCAGAGCTGATGGGATTTCAGGATTGTGTGCATTCAAATAATTGCTATGTCTGAGAATAAATAATAGAAAACTTATCCCACTTTTCAGTATGCTGCTGGAGAGCCCTGCACAATTCATTTTCCCCTCCAGTGAGCATATTTTTTAGGGGACAGCTACTACTGTATTAGCTCAGTTCTGTAGCCATACAGGTCAGAGACTCCCAGAGACTCCCCCAGAGGTCTGCAGGCCCAAGGGCATAAATAAATTGGCTCCTCCCCCAGAGGAGGTGGAGAAGTTTTCTTTTCCAACACTTTAGTATTTCACCTAGATGGACCAAAATAGGAGGAAAAAATGTCATTGGTGTGCATGTAACAATGAAATAAAAATAATAACTTCTGGTCTGGGGCATATTCCTCATCAGAACCTTGAGGAGAGCTACTCTGGAGCTTTGGTGCAAAAGTGACTTTTGTACTAGGAGTCATTCTGTCCAGGTCCTTAAGAACGGTACCAAGGCCCAGCCTAAAGGCAATATCTGAGATGGGGAAGAGAATCCCAATCTGGAGAGTTAACCTTTTATGACTCTTCCTCTCCCTCCCACACGAGGAGGCCTGATGGCACCATGGTTAGTCACTCAGCTGCTAACCAAATAGGTGGCAGTTTGAACATACCCAGCAGCTCTGTGGGAGAGAGACTTGGCTGATGACCTGCTTCTGTCAAGATGATAACCAAGAAAACCCTATGGAACAGTTCTACTCTGCCATGTGTGGTCGCTATAAGTCAGAATCAACTCAATGACACCTAACAACAACAACTCCCCTCCCACATTGGATGAACCCTCAGGATGGGATGGGGGCTGCTGAGAATCTACAGCCTGCTGACTGCCTTTATCTGATAGAAAGAGGCATGAGATTTGTTGGGCTAAGGATCTGGTCAGAGGAAATATCCCACCTCTTTCCCTGCCTTAAAACAAACAAACAAACAAACAAACAAAACTGTAATTTCCTCTTCCCAGATCCTGTAACCTAAGAATCTTTGTTTTTATTTCTGAGCTAAGTTGTGAGTGCTAGGATATAAAATATCCTAAACCCAAACAAGTTCTTTCTGACTCATAGAGTCCTTATACAAAATACACTAGCATATGGCAAAACCTCAAAATGGTGGAGTCATGGAGGAGAGTAGAGGCTAGAGTCTACTAAAGGAGGAAAATGCTGCACATAAAATTCTACTTCCTACCTATATCCAGGAAAATAATAATATTATTAGGCATAGTAATAGTAATAAACGTAGAAATGGTAGCATTACTAGCAGTATTAATGACCATTTATTGAGCTCCAACTATATGCCAGGCACTTCCATATATAATAAAACTCACTGCAGTTAGTCAGATCTGACTCATAGCGACCCCTCCTTGGGTTTCTGAGGCGGTATCACTATGGAAGTAGATTGCCCCATCTTCCTTCCAAGGAGTGGCTGGTGGGTTTGAACCGTCAGCCTTCTGGTTAGCAGTCAAGTGCCTTAGCCACTATGCTACCAGAGCTCCCCCATATACAATAGTTCAGTTAATTCTCAGAATATTAAAATATATACATTGAAGCTCAGAATGCTTAAGAAACCATTTAGAGACAAAGCCATTTGGAATCTTTTATTTGCTAGAATATGGCTTTTTAGAGGATTAAATTGATGAATGATTAAATTCTACAAAGACATTCCTCATGGTGGCGGGGTGCACAGACCCTCTTAAAGAGCAAGAGTCCACTTTAATTCACAGCCCCAGCAGGCTAAATATCAAGGCTAGATCATGTAGATTCAAGGCCCATTTAAGAACTTCCTGGCATCCTGGGGCATAAGAAGTTGACATTTTTCTTTTTTTTTTTTTTTATGAATAAGGAATCTGTAAACAGGCCCCAAAATTAAAGGGCAGCAGTCAGGGTCTCAAGACATTCATGAGAAGGACAAGAAACAATCACTGGGTACCCCACAGGTTTAACTCTTAAAAACAGCTTAACTCAGGATTAGGGATCTCCAACTGCATGGTTAGGTTTCACAGAACAGATTTTGCTGTAACAGTACTTTGCTTTGTAAAAGATTCATGCCCCCTACAGCAATGTTGTGTAAATATGCATTTATGTTGATAAAAGAAATTTTTCAATGAATTGCTAAATGATTGGATAGCTCAGTAAAATAAGGAAGATCTGGAAGAACTGGAATTCCATGCCGTTCTTACAGACAGTCTTGACTTTCCTGAATGAAGCCCTATCGATATCGGATCCACATTCTTAATCAACTAACGTTCTCCCTTCTCTCCCCACTTTTTGGTTTTTTCAATGTGATCACTTGCACAAGGAATCCTTCAGTTTCCTTAGCAACTGTTTGAAATTTATTTGATTATCAAAATAAGCTGTTCCATTTTGGGGAGTCCAGCTGAGGCTATGTGTAGCAATTTGCATGGTTCAAACTGATGGGCAATTTTGATTTCATTGCAGGAAGAAGAAAATGTGATCCCTAGCCCGCCAATTCAACCATCAGAAATGCTTGTTTATTCAATGCTTTTTTTTCTTCTTCCCATTAATGCATAACACAAGTTCTTGTGGCTTTACTACGAAAAGCTGCTGTATTTGGTTTCCATCCCATGACAACCCCAAAATGGTTAAAGCCACTTTGAAAATATAGTATGAAATGCACTTTGATGTTATTGTCAGAGACATAATAATAATGATGAACATTTAAAACACTGGATTTATCACATAGTTCATTTGTATAATTTAAAAATCTATATATCCTTTAAAATTAATTTAAAAATACACAAACCTTTACAGGATATGTTGATATATAAGGTTAATTAGCTGAAGTTTTGGAACTTTAATAACTGATAGAAATGGTTTGAGATTTGAATGGACAAGAAGGGAACTAACATTCATTGAGTGCGTCCTCACCATAAGTCTTTTAAAAGGCCGATGTTATCCTCTTGTTCTACAGAGCAGAAAATTAAGGTAAAAAATATGGAACAACTGGAATTAATACAGCCAATAAAGGCTAAGGCCAGGATCTGAACCCTGAACTGTCAGGCTCCAAACCCATTTATTCTCTTTCCATCATACTACACGGCTTCCTCTAGAATTGTGGCAACAAGAACATTAATCTTAATTCTGGAATCAGCTCTCCTATGATTCCCTCAGAAGAGACAGGAAGCATCTCTTATATCAAGGTTAAAGATTTTCCCCTTTGAGATATGTCTAAGGAACTAGATTTTTAACATCACAATTAAAAACATAAACTCAGTAGACATTGGTTTGACCAGGGTAAAATAAATTAAGAACTATGTGGTCTCACATAAACTGTAGGAAGCTTTGTCCTCTGTTTTTCAGACTGATGTATTTTTCCAGGCTGATGTAATTGTTTTTGATGCTGACCACTTTCCTGCACTGTACTGCATTTAAGAAGTTTGTAAACAGGATTTCCATTTGCATTAGTAATGACAGATAATCCCTTTAAGCAAAAATACTCCAATTAAAGTAAACCAATAACCTGATGCAATTTTATTTTGCCTCTTATCTGCACCTCCTGCTCCTTGGGAAAAATAAAACAAAACCTAAACAACCTACAAACTCTAATTTCATTAGAGTGAGAGATTTCAGATAGATTCAACTCCTGTTTAAAAAATGTTTGGTATAGATCATGGAAGGAAGAAAACACATTTTGCTAAATAAGACCTTCTACCAGTTCTCTGAGGGTTCAGCAAATCTTAAATCTACTTTTGTGCATGCTGGTCATCTTTATGTCATTCACCTACAGCATTCAATACTATAAACTGGCATGGGCATCACAAGCCAACAGGCAGGACCATGGACAGGGCCAACCTGAAAAAATTCTAAAGAACTATCACCTAAGGCATCTGACTGCTAACCGGAAGGCTGGTGGTTCAAACCCACCAAGCATTCTATGGAAGCAAGAGCAATCTACTTCCGTAAAGATTTACCATCTTGGAAACCCAATGGGGGTTGCTATGAGTTGGAATTGACTTGATGGCAGTGGGTTTGGTTTGGTTTTTTAGTCAGTCATATGATGATTCTATTATTAATCACATATGCAGAATCTGTGAATTACAGTGGGCCTCAGAGACCAGAAGCCCTGGTCAAGGGATTTACTGAAGGTCACACTATGGGTAAATGGAGGCAGCTGGACTTGAACTAGGGCTTCCTGACTCTCTTCCACAGCTCTTTCCACAGCCTCATCCATGGTATGTCCCTCCAAATTTTTAGTGGGTAAAGAAAGTATAAATTATTCAATTTTCTAAGCCTTAAAATTTTTGTAAAAGAGAGGACTGGCTTTGCCCCTCAAAACATTAGGCAGGAATTCTGATTTGGCTCTGTGAAAATGCTCCTAATCCTCCTCACTTCCCTTAAAGATGACCATAGGTTAAGAGTTGACTTTGGCCTTAAGGATGATCATTTCAGAAGTAACTAATAGATACTCTGACCAAGCACAGGCCACCCTGCTGGCCAATATGACATTTGCAAAGCAAATCCTTGGCAGACCAGGGGGGCTCGGGAGCCATGACCTCAGAGTGAATTTGGAAGGAAGATGCAAGCAGTGAAAGCTGGAGGTGGCTATAGCCACACTGCTGCCTGAGGTGGCACCAGAGAGAAAAGCAGTTATGTAGGAGCAGAGAGGACCACATTGCCCAGAATAATGACTGGATTGCCTTGTTAGTGCAAACATTTTTCCTGGTACCCATTTTTGTGGGTCTTTTCCAGTCTTAGCTGACAGTGAAAGAATCTGTGTCCACAGCATGTTGGAAAGACTCATAGGAAATTCAAGACATTAGTCTCTGGATGTCCCATTTAAGAATGCCAAAGTTCAAATGCTACCACCACCATCACTGAGAAAGAAATATCCCTCTCTCATTGTGCAATGGAATTTTACATCTACATCTCCTTTTGGGTCTTCTAACCATGGGGTGAGGCAGGTATGCTAGCCTATGAAGAGTGCAAGAGTCCCTGGGGCTATAAAGACTGGGGCTCTTATCCCAATGCTATTATTTACTGGCCATGTGACTGTGTCCAAGTCACTTAATTAATGCCATGCTTAGTTTCTGCATCTAAAACAGAGAGAAAAAAAATTATACTTAACTCACAGGACCTCTGTGAGGATTTTATATGAAATGCTCTTGACAAAAAATCTTTGAAACATACACACTGTACAAACACTAATAATTATTGCTATTATTACAGATGTGAAAACTAGGGTTCAGGGAAATTAAATGATTTGCTTGAGGTCACATGATTGGTAAATGTCAGAACACTTGAACTGATGTTTTCCATTAAATCATAAGGGTCCATGGATCTTTGAATCACAACACACCATCTACCCATCTCACCATACCCCACTTCCAGAGATACCCATCCATCCCATGAGGTTGCCCCAATAGGGCTTCCCTGTTCCCTCACAATCAAAGATGGCCACCCCAGCCTAGGATGTGAAATCCCAAAATGCTTCCCTTGAGGCATGAGATGGGATGCCACTGAGCACCATGAGCCTGCCCAAGCTGCTCTATGAGCTCCCAGTGAAAAAGAATTGCAATGAAGACATAGGTGGACTGGCAGCCGGCGTGGAGTGCAGAGGGATGGAGGAAGCACCAGAGCATGGAGCTGTGCATCAGGCACATGATGCGCATAATGGAGGTCTCCTCGGTTCAAAGGCAGACACAGAGGACTCACGACACGGACAACACGGCAACCCTACCTTCTGTGGCTCCTTTGCCTTTCCTGTCAGGGATCTCTAACCCAGTGCCCCCTGAGGGATACAGGGAGACGTCCGTTGGCACAGGCCAACTGCTGGCTGTGTCCTCCGTGATCTCATACATCTGCCCCTCCATCGGCTGCAGGTGCCAGTTTAGGCCAAACAGGTGCATGGCTGTGGTGAGCAATGAGAAAAGTCATCTTTTTCTGCTGGAGGTGGAAACGGAACTCCCAAGCCATAAGGGGAGGTTAGGTGGGGTGGGGAACACAGCAGTTTAATTCAGTTCAGTTCAATTCAACAACTACCCAGTGAGAGCCCAGAGATGATCAAGGCATGGGTCCTGCCCTCAAGGGGCTCACAGTCTGGTGGAGCAAGGAGAGAATGGGGGTAAGGGAGCTTCAGGAGGTGTTGGTGTTTTGCTTCAAAAGAGAACAATCTAGGAAAATAATTGTAATTTGCATCACAAAGGGTTAATTTCCTTAATACAAAAATAAAAAATCAAAAAAAAAAAAAAACCTCCTACAAATAATAAGCAAAGTCCAACAATGCAGTAGAAAAGCAAGCATAAGATACAAATAGTTTATAGAATAAGAAATATAAATGGCTCTTAATCATGACAAGACTTGACATCACTCATGGTGAGTTAAAACTCTGAAATGCCATTTTTCACATATGGTTTGACATAGATTAAAAAGGTTGAAATGTCTTGTATTGGCAGGGAATAGGAAACAAACACTCTCATACATTGCTGGTGTGAGCTTAAACTGGTATAAGCCTTATTATGGAGTGCCATTTGACAAAAAGGTATCAAGTTTAAAATGCACATACCCTTTACCACGGGACTTAAAAAGAGATTCTACTCTAGGAACTTCTTATCCAGATACACTGGATGTATGTAAATGAGTTACATACAATGTTATTCGCTGCAGCATTGATTTAATAGCAAAATACTAGAAACCAGTCAATCAATAAGGGACTGAATAAGTTATAGTTACACAATAAAATATTATGTAGCCATAAAAAAAAAGAGTGAAGAATCTATGTCTTTTTCTGCAAGGAAAACTGTTAAGTGCAGAACAGTGTATTTGCTATGGGTATGTATAGAATCTCTGGTAGCATAGTGGCTAAAGCACTTGACTGCTCACCAGAAGGCTGGCGGTTCAA